CTCTAGTTGACTTTCTCCTTTACTCACTCAATCTATTTATCGTTCATTATCTTATTCCCTCCACTTTCTCATTCTTTTCATCTCTTCGCTGTCTTATTCATTCCTACCATCCTTCCACATCACCAATTTCATCCGTTCTCTCTCTATGTCACCTCCCTCATCCTGTCTCATATCTCTCACTCATTCCTTCGTTAATCTCACCATCCTCACCCTGTCTCATATCTCTCACTCATTCCTTCGTTAATCTCACCATCCTCACCCTGTCTCATATCTCTCACTCATTCCTTCGTTAATCTCACCATCCTCACCCTGTCTCATATCTCTCACTCATTCCTTCGTTAATCTCACCATCCTCACCCTGTCTCATATCTCTCACTCATTCCTTCGTTAATCTCACCATCCTCACCCTGTCTCATATCTCTCACTCATTCCTTCGTTAATCTCACCATCCTCACCCTGTCTCATATCTCTCACTCATTCCTTCGTTAATCTCACCATCCTCACCCTGTCTCATATCTCTCACTCATTCCTTCGTTAATCTCACCATCCTCACCCTGTCTCATATCTCTCACTCATTCCTTCGTTAATCTCACCATCCTCACCCTGTCTCATATCTCTCACTCATTCCTTCGTTAATCTCACCATCCTCACCCTGTCTCATATCTCTCACTCATTCCTTCGTTAATCTCACCATCCTCACCCTGTCTCATATCTCTCACTCATTCCTTCGTTAATCTCACCATCCTCACCCTGTCTCATATCTCTCACTCATTCCTTCGTTAATCTCACCATCCTCACCCTGTCTCATATCTCTCACTCATTCCTTCGTTAATCTCACCATCCTCACCCTGTCTCATATCTCTCACTCATTCCTTCGTTAATCTCACCTCCCTCACCCTGTCTCATATCTCTCACTCATTCCTTCGTTAATCTCACCATCCTCACCCTGTCTCATATCTCTCACTCATTCCTTCGTTAATCTCACCATCCTCACCCTGTCTCATTCCCCCCTCCCCCTCTACTCTTCCTACAAATCAATAAAAGAGTAAACAAACTAATCAATGACAAACAACGAATAAACAAGACATAAACAACGAATAAACAAGGCATAAACAAAACAAAATAATCTGCCTATAGCAAGACCAAGTTTCAAGGAGATGGCGGCAGTGGATCCCAATAACGCACTCCGACTGAGAGAGGAGCGTCAGGGTGTGGAACTGGGGTAGGTGTGGTACTGGGGTAGGTGTGGTACTGGGGTAAGTGTGGTACTGGGGTAGGTGTGGTACTGGGGTAGTGTGGAACCGTAGTGGTACTGGGGTAAGTGTGTGGTACTAGTAAGTGTGGTACTGGGGGTAAGTGTGGTACTGGGGTGTGGTACTGGGGTAAGTGTGGTACTGGGGCAAGTGGTACTGGGGTAAGTGTGGTACTGGGGTAAGTGTGGTACTGGGGGTAGTGTGGTACTGAGGCAGTGTGGCACTGGGGTAGTGTGGCACTGGGGCAGTGTGGCACTGGGGCAAGTGTGGTGACTGGGGCAGTGTGGCACTGGGGCAGTGTGGCACTGGGTTAGGGGCATGGCACTGGGGTTACATGGTACTGGGGTGTGTGGCACTGGGGTAGTGTGGCACTGGGGCAGTGTGGCACTGGGTGTGGTACTGGGGCAGGTGGTACTGGGGCAGGTGGTACTGGGGTAGGTGGCACTGGGGTAGTGTGGCACTGGGGTAAGTGTGGGCACTGTGTAAGTGTGGCAATTGAGGTAGGTGTGGTAACTGGGGTAGTGTGGCACTGGGGTAGTGTGGCACTGGGGTAGGTGTGGTACTGGGGTAGTGTGGTACTGGGGGTAGTGTGTGGCATTGGGGTGTAAGGTGGTACTGGGGTAGTGTGGGTACTGGGGTAGTGTGGTACCGGGGCAGTGTGGCACTGGGGTAGTGTACTGGGGCAGGTGGTGCTGGGGTAGGTGTACTGGGGTAGGTGTGGCACTAGGTAATTAGGGGTAGGTGTGGTACTGGGGCAGGTGTGGTACTGGGGTAGGTGTGGTACTGGGAGTAGTGTGGGTACTGGGGTAGTGTGGTACTGGGATAGTGTGGTATTGGGGTAGGTGTGGTACTGGGATAGTGTGGTATCAGTAGTGTGGCACTGGGCGTAGTGGCACTGGGGGTGTGGTACTGGGGTAGTAGGGCACTGGGTCGTGTGGTACTGGGGTAGTGTAGGTGTGGATACTGGGGTGTGGATGTGATACTGGGGTAGTGGGTGTGGTACTGGGGTAGTGGGTGTGGTACTGGGGTAGTGGGTGTGGTACTGGGGTAGTGTGGGGTGGCATCAGTAGTGTAGGTGGTACTGGGGTAGTGTAGGTGTGGTACTGGGGCAGTATAGGTGTGGTACTGGGGTAGTGTAGGTGTGATACTGGGGTAGTGTAGGTGTGGTACTGGGGTGTGGTACTGGGGTAGCAGGTGTGATACTGGGGCAGTGTGTAGGTGTGGTACTGTGTAGTGTGGGTGTGGTACTGGGGGCAGTGTGGGTGGCACTGGGGCAGTAGGTGTGGTACTGGGTAGTGTAGGTGTGGGTACTGGGGTAGTATAGGTGTGGCACTGGGTAGTGTGTAGGTGTGATACTGGGGTAGTGTAGGTGGGTACTGGGGTAGTGTGGGTGTGGGTACTGGGGTAGTGTAGGTGTGATACTGGGGTAGTGTAGGTGTGGTACTGGGGTAGTGGGTGTGGTACTGGGGTAGTGGGTGTGGTACTGGGGTAGTGTAGGTGTGGGTACTGTGTGGTGTGGTACTGGGGTAGTGTGGTGTGGTACTGGGGTAGTGTAGGTGTGGTGCTGGGTAGTGTGGGTGTGGTACTGGGGTAGTGTAGGTGTGGTACTGGGGTAGTGTGGGTGTGGTACTGGGGTAGTGTAAGTGTTGTTCTGGGGTAGAGGGTATCAGTATTGTCGGTGTGGTGCTGGGGAAGGAACATCCAGTACTGGGGAGGAACACCTGGTACTGCGAGAGTAACACCTGCATTGGGTAGGAAACAGTAATAAGTAGGAACACCGGTACTGAGGTGGGAACACCTGGTACTGGGGGAGAAACACCTGGTACTGGGGAGGAACACAAGGTACTAGGGGAGAAACACCTGGTACCGGGGTAGTAACACCTGGTACCGGGGGAGGAACACCTGGTACCAGGGGAGTAACACCTGGTACTGGGGTAGTAACACCTGGTACTGGGGTAGTAACACCTGGTACTGGGGTAGTAACACCTGGTACCGGGGGAGGAACACCTGGTACCGGGGGAGGAACACCGTACTATACTATACTGGCTCTGTACAACAACCTCCCGCCCGACAACATGGAATCACACACACCCGTCAAACAATGCCATGACACTTCTTCCTATTGTTATTTTTATTAACTACCCGACTGCCGCTTCTCGCCGCGAATATATTTGGCGATGGACAGAAGGGAGGTGAGGGTTGAGGCGAGGTGGAGTAAGGTGGCGTGTGTGGCCGCCTACTTGAGCACACTGGCTGTCTCGCCGCCACCACACCACAAACTTTTAAGTTTAGGAATGCAAGACGGAGGAAAGGTCGACCCACCTACCTTGTGTGGACAGATGGGTCCTATTAAGGCTATACACCCGATGATGATATAAATCCGCATGGTGACGTCGGTAGAAAATGTAAAAAATACACTTTGTGTGGCAGTAATCCAGAAAATATCGCGGTACGTCCTCACACCATCACTTCCAATCTTGCACTGACGACCACTCGGCTCGCGCATGCGCAATCGTCCTGGCTTTGTAGGGGGATACTAGCGCTTGCTGCCTCGCACTCTTTAATATATTATTTATTATTCACTTACAGGCACATTATTAAAGTTTCAATTTCATTCTGACAATACTGTAATATATATTCTTATCTATGACATCGAGTTTTATTCACCTAATGAAAGTGTTGCATCGAACTTAGTAAGGGTTTCCTTTAACTTGTTTTCATTAAAGAGTGTGGACACTGTTGTCAGTTGCTAATTCATTTGTTTTTTTTTATTTATTCTCTCATTATTCCTCTTGTCCTGGTGGACCCATCCCAAGAACTTAATAGGAAGCACCTAAATTAAAAGGAATAGTGAACTGACACGCGTTGACAAAACATGCGGGGATTCCTACTCTTCATGAGGTCCGTTAAGCTTTCAAAAGGTCAAGTTAAAGCAAATCCTCATGAAGTATTATTTAACACTTTACCTCAATGAATAAAGTCAGTTATAAATAAAGACGAAATGTAATACTCACGACCCTGTACACCCCAGCACCCAGGAGCTATGTACAGTACACCCCAGCACCCAGGAGCTATGTACAGTACACCCCAGCACCCAGGAGCTATGTACAGTACACCCCAGCACCAGGAGCTGTACAGTACACCCCAGCACCCAGGAGCTATGTACAGTACACCCCAACACCCAGGAGCTATGTACAGTACACCCCAGCACCCAGGAGCTAGCAGTACACCCCAGCACCGGAGCTATGTAATGCACCCCCAGCACCCAGGAGCCATGTACAGAACTCACGACCCTGTATATCCTAGGGAGCTATATGCAGTACCCCAGCACCAGGGAGCTATGTACAGTACACCCCAGCACCCAGGAGCTATGTACAGTACCCCCAGCACCCAGGAGCTATGTACGTACACCAGCACCCAGGAGCTATGTACAGAACTCACGACCCTGTATATCCCAGCACCCAGGAGTATGTACAGTACACCCCAGCACCCAGGAGTATGTAGTACACCCAGACTATATACAGTACACCCCAGCACCAGGAGCTATGTGCAATACACAGCACCCAGGAGCTATGTACAGAACTCGACCCTGTATATCCAGCACCCAGGAGCTATGTACAGTACACCCCAGCACCCAGGAGCTATGTGCAATACACCCCCAGCACCCAGGAGCAGTATGTACAGAACTCACGACCCTGTATGTCAGCACCCAGGAGCTATATACAGTACACCCCAGCACCAGGAGCTATGTGTACACCCAGCACAGGAGCTATGTACAGTACTCACGACCCTGTACACCCAGCACCCAGGGCTATGTCAGTGCTCACGACCCTGTACACCCCAGCACCCAGGAGCTATGTACAGTACACCCAGCACCCAGGAGCTATGTGCAATTACACCCCAGAACCCAGGAGCTATGTGCAGTACACCCCAGCACCCAAGAGCTATGTACAGAACTCACGTCCTGTACATCCCAGCGGGAGCTATGTGCAGTACACCCCAGCACCAGGAGCTATGTACAGTGCACCCCAGCACCCAGGAGCTATGTGCAGTACACCCCAGCACCAGGAGCTATGTGCAGTACTCACGACCCTGTACACCCCAACACCAGGAGCTATGTACAGTACCCCCAGCACCCAGGAGCTATGTGCAGTACTCGACCCTGTACATCCCAACACCGGAGCTATGCTAGTACACCCCAGCACCCAGGAGCTATGTGCAGTAACCTCCAGCACCCAGGAGCTATGTACAGTACACAACACCAGGAGCTATGTACAGTACTCACGACCCACACACCCACAGGAGCTATATACAGTACACCCCCAACACCCAGGAGCTATGTGCAGTACACCCCAGCACCCAGGAGCTATGTACAGTACACCCCCAGCACCAGGAGCTATGTGCAGTACACCCCAGCACCCAGGAGCTAGCTCAGCCAGTACTCACGATCCTGTACACCCCAGCACCCAGGAGCTATGTACAGTACCCCAGCACCCAGGACTATGTACAGTACCCCAGCACCCAGGAGCTATGTGCAGTCACCCCCAGCACCCAGGAGCTATGTACAGTACACCCCAGCACCCAGGAGCTATGTGCAGTACCCCAGCACCCAGGAGCTATGTGTACAACCTGCAAGGGCTATGTGCAGTACACCCCAGCACCCAGGGCTATGTGCAGTACACCCCAGCACCAGGAGCTATGTACAGTCACCCCAGCACCAGACATGTGCAGTACCCCCAGCAGGGCACTGTGCCCCAGCACCCAGGGCTATGTGCACCCCAGCACCCAAGAGCTATGTGCCCCAGCACCCGGTATGTGCACCCCAGCACCCAGGAGCTATGTGCAGTACACCCCAGCACCCAGGAGCTATGTACACCCCAGCACCCAGGGCTATGTACAGTACACCCCAGCACCCAGGGCCTATGTGCAGTACCCCCAGCACCCAGGGCTATGTACACGCCAACACCCAGGAGCTATGTCACGTGCACCCCCAGCACCCAGGAGCTATGTGCAGTACACCCCAGCACCCAGGAGCTGTGCAGTACACCCAGCACCCAGGGAGCTATGTACAGTACACCCAGCACCAGGAGCTATGTGTGCAACCAGACTATGTGCACCCCAGCACCCAGGGCTATGTACACCCCAGCACCCATTCTGTACACCCCAGCACCCAGGAGCTATGTACACCCCAGCACCCAGGAGCTATGCACCCCCAGCACCCAGGAGCTATGTGCAGTACCCCAGCACAGGAGCTATGTACAGTACACCCCAGCACCCAGGAGCTATGTACCCCAGCACCAGGAGCTATGCACCAGCACCCAGAAGCTATGTACACATTACCCACACCTGAGTTATATAAATGACTCAACTAACCACACAACATACAATTAAACACCTGTCATACAATAAAACACCTGTCATATAATTAACACCTGTATATAATTAACACCTATCATACAATTAAAACTATCCTACAATTAAACACCTGTCATACAATTTACACCTGTCACACACTTAAACACCTGTCATACAATAAAACACCTGTCATACAATTAACACGTCATACAATAAAACAACTGTCATACAATAAAACACCTTCATGCACATTAAACACCTGTCATACAATTAACACCTCTCCATACAATTAACACCTGGCATGTACAATTAACACCTGCCATACAATTAAAACCTGTCATACAATTAACACCTGTCACACAATTAACACTTGTCATGCAACTAATATCTGTCATACAATTAACACCTGTCATACATTGAACCTTACTCATACAATTAACATCTGTCATACATTGAACACCTGTCATACATTTAAACACCTGTCATATAATTAACACCTGGCATATAATTAACACTGTCATACAATTAAACACCTGTCATACAATTTACACCTGTCACACACTTAAACACCTGTCATACAATAAAACACCTGTCATACAATTAACACGTCATACAATAAAACAACTGTCATACAATAAAACACCTGTCATACAATTAAACACCTGTCATACAATTAACACCTCTCATACAATTAACACCTGGCATACAATTAAACACCTGCCATACAATTAACACCTGTCATACAATTAAACACCTGTCACACAATTAAGCACCTGTCATAAAAAACACATGTCATACAATTAAACTGCCTTTATACTAAAACACCTGTCACAAAATAAACACCTGCCATACAATTAAACACCTGTCATACAATTAAACACCTGCCATATAATTAACACGTCACACAATTAAACACTGTCATACAATTAAACATCTGTCATATAATTAAAAACCTGTCACAAAATTAAACACCTGTACAAATGTCATACAATTAAACACTGTCAAACAATTAAACACCTGTCATACAATAAAACATCAGTCACACAATTAAGCACCTGTCATATAATAAACACCTGTCATACAAACAACTGTCACAATTAAACACCTGTCATACAATTAAACATCTGTCACAATTAAAACCTGTCATATAATAAACACCTGTCATACAATTAAACACCTGTCATACAATAAACAACTTTCACAATTAAACACTTGTCATACAATTAAACATCTGTCACACAATTAGCACCTGTCATATAATAAACACCTGTCATACAATTAAACACCTGTCATACAATAAACAACTGTCACAATTAAACACCTATCATACAATTAAACATCTGTCATACAATTAAACACCTGTCATAAAATTAAACACCTGTCACACAATTAAACACCTGTCATACAATTAACTGTCTACACAATTAAGCACCTGTCATATAATAAACACCTGTCACACATTAAACACCTGGCATACAATTAAACACCTGCCATATAATTAACACCTGTCACACAATTAAACACCTGTCATACAATTAAACACCTGTCATATAATTAAAAACCTGTCAAAAATTAAACACCTGTCACACAATTAAACACATGTCATACAATTAAACACCTGTCAAACAATTAAACACCTGTCATACAATAAAACATCGGTCACACAATTAAGCACCTGTCATATAATAAACACCTGTCATACAATAAACAACTGTCACAATTAAACACCTGTCATACAATTAAACATCTGTCATATAATTAAAAACCTGTCACAAAATTAAACACCTGTCACACAATTAAACACATGTCATACAATTAAACACCTGTCAAACAATTAAACACCTGTCATACAACAAAACATCGGTCACACAATTAAGCACCTGTCATATAATAAACACCTGTCATACAATAAACAACTGTCACAATTACCTGTCATACAATTAAACATCTGTCACACAATTAAGCACTGTCATATAATAAACACCTGTCATACAATTAAACACCTGTCATACAATAAACAACTTTCTATTAAACACCTGTCATACAATTAAACATCTGTCACACAATTAAGCACCTGTCATATAATAACACCTGTCATACAATTAAACACCTGTCATACAATAAACAACTGTCACAATTAAACACCTGTCATACAATTAAACATCTGTCATACAATTAAACACCTGTCATAAATTAAACACCTGTCACACAATTAAACACCTGTCATACAATTAAACACCTGTCCACACAATTAGCACCTGTCATATAATAAACACCTGTCACACAATTAAACACCTGGCATACAATTAAACACCTGCCATATAATTAACACCTGCACCTTACCTGTCTAATTAAACACCTGTCATATAATTAAAAACCTGTCAAAAATTAAACACCTGTCACAATTAAACACATGTCATACAATTAAACACCTGTCAAACAATTAAACACCTGTCATACAATAAAACATCGGTCACACAATTAAGCACCTGTCATATAATAAACACCTGTCATACAATAAACAACTGTCATAAAAACACCTGTCATACAATTAAACACCTGTTATACAATTAAACACCTGTCTCGATAAACACCTGTCATTACAATTAAACACCTGTCATACAATTAAACACATCTCCAAAATTAAACACCTGTCATACAATTAAACACCTGTCCAACAATTAAACACCTGGCATACAATTAAACACCTGTCACACAAACACACACACACAGAGCTCAGAACTACATACACAGACTGCTACATTCACCCACGGCCACACACACACACACACACACATACACACACACACACACACACACACACACCCCACGGACACACACACACACACACACACACACACACACACTTAGCAACATAATCAGAGTACATGAACTATTATAACACCTTCGTCCCTAGGGCAGTGTATAGTATAGTTTAAAACTGTAATGAAATAACCTGAAGAACATATTCTAACTTAAACTTAACCTAACCTAAATTGAACCTAACATATTCTAACTTAAACTTAACCTAACCTAACCTAACCTAACCTAACCTAACCTAACCTAACTTAAACTTAACCTAACCTAACTTGAACCTAACACATTCTAACTTAAACTTAACCTAACCTAACCTAAACCTAACATATTCTAACTTAAACTTAACCTAACCTAACCTAACTTAAACTTAACCTAACCCAACCTAAACCCAACATATTCTAACTTAAACTTAACCTAACCTAACTTAACCTAACATATTCTAACTTAAACTTAACCTAACCTAACGTATCTTAACCTTGACTAATCTAACTTAAACTTAACCTAACATATTCTAACTTAAACTCAACCTATCCTAATGTATCTTAACCTTGCCTAATCTAACTTAATACTATCCTAACCACACTTAACGCTAAACTAACTTAAAACCTAAACTATCCACCTGAAAGCTAAACTAACTTAACCTAACGTAAGCTAACCAAACGTAATCAAAAGCTAACTTGATCTAACCAAACTAACGTAACCATAAGCTATCAAAACCTGCCCAAAATTAACCTAAGCTAACCCAAATAAACTAAAGCTAACCCAACCAAATCTAACCTAACCCAACCAAATCTAACCTAACCCAACCAAATCTAACCTAACCCAACCAAATCTAACCGCCCCAAGGTAGTGTTAGTATTAGGGTGTCTAATCTTCAGGTGATACATATAGAGTTAGGAAACCAGGCGCCACACAACCTTTTGGTAATCGATAAACTAATTAGAAATCACAAATAAGTCAAGAACAAAAGGGGGGAGGGGGGAATCTTTAGCCAACCTCAATGGAAAATAACAACAATGATGATGAAGACGAAGAATAAGAAGAAGAAGAAGAAGAAGAAGAAGAAGAAGAAGAAGATTACTGGGTTTTAAGCAGCAAAAAACAAAAAAAAACATCACAAGCTGACCTTCAACCACGCTTATATATAAAGTACACATGAAAATAAAACATAAATACAAGTTAGCGTCAACAGGCCAGTCACGCAAGTCCTGGTACAATAAAACCTTCCAAAAATACACTAACTAACACACATACACGTACACGCAGCAAAACACCGTTACAAAAAACACAACCATAAAACTAACAAAAAGTATATTGATTTTGTCTTATCTATGAGGAATGATACAAGCAGTAAAGTAGCTTCACTGTCTTCTATTTTTCAAACTATATTTCTTATTTTTATCACTCGCTATATATTTACTGATCTACAAGTGTTGTATCGTGTTATTTACTATTTCTCGGTAAGTTTAAATGCGGTGTTGTGTTTATCATATTTGTAGTCATAACTTTCATCTTTTATTTCGTATCTCTATTCCTATAAGGACAACAATGTAAAGTAAATTTCAACGGCAATCTTGGGATATTTTTCAATCGTCCTACTTTTTATCACTATTTATATACCAACACTACGAGTATTATATATTCATGATCAACCAGTGTAAACTTCTATGACGATTTTACTCGATAAAGTATAATTTATCTCATTGTGACAGCGAGCATTAATGTGAGCTGGGTAGATCATACGCATGGCAGCCGGGGTGTGTTGAGGACGTGCCAAGGTGGCTGGCCGTCAAGGACCACCGAGAACTGTTGTTTAATTATAATACATTGCCATGATAGGACTGGCTGGCACAGAGGGGGGATTATGTAAATACTTCCTCAACTCTTCATTAGACAAGTCACAAACAAAAGAGTAAGTAAACAGTAAGAGAAATGCCCCAAAAAAACAAAACCCCAAGTCGTAAATACCTGACAATGACATAAGTGACCATTATCGACATAGTTCCTCACTACTCAGGCATCAAGGACGATATTACTGTGGCCATGGAGGATGAGGAGGGGAAGAAGAGTCGAGAGTGGCCCATACACATCGTAAAAAAAATTCCAAATTATTTTACACCCAAATATCCATTCCCTCTCAGACAATTTATAACTGATATACCCAAGAACTAGAAAATA